TGATCCCTAAGTTCCATTTAGGGATCAGAATTCTGGGGAGGCTCTGAAAGGGTTTTTTTTTTTAAAAAAAAAAACAAAAAAGAAACTGGCTACAGTCAGTAGAGAATCTTCTTATTTAGATTTTAAAATATGAGGTGGGATTTTTTTTAATAGCAAAAAAACCCCATCTCCCTTTGGCACCATGGTGTTTTTATTCAGTATCAGTCCTTTTTCCATTCTTCGGCCAGCAGATTTCTTCCAATATACTAATAAAAGCAGTTTCAGTTAAGTACTTCTACCTCTGGCAGTTTCTTTTGATGTGACATTTCTGCAGACACCACTATTTTAAAAGGCATAAGCCTGAAAGAATAGTTACAAAAAAAAGACAGTGCTTTTGTGTGTGTGTGGGTTGGCACATTTAAGGATTTTTTTTTAAAAAAAATGGGTCATAGGGCTTTTGAAGTGGGTGGAAAGAGCATATATTATAGGCTTATGTACCATTCTGGAGGATAACAGGCAGTTTGATTTTAATAAACTAGGTTGACCCTAGAGTGATGAAAGACATAGAGGCCCATTTTGATTTGTAACTCCAGCAGATAGGTCGTGAGGTAATCAAGAGAGTGTTTATAACATTGAAACATGCCTGGTTTTCATTTGTGCAACACCCCTTCTGCCTCAGCACTCTTCTAGATATACTGAAACAACCCAGACTTCGCCAACTTTTACAAGCACTTTGAAAATCCTGTTGCTTCCCAAGAATCTTTCCAGTTCCACGTTGGGGAGACTTGTACTTGATAACAAATGCTCTTACTAGGGACATCCTAGTAATAGTAAATACCAGTTTTCAAATAATTTTCTTGTGGTTGTTGTCAAAGCGAAAATGGCATAGTAGAAGTAGAGAATGATCAACGAATATACTCAAGTAAATCAATGTTCTGTAGTCTCAGGATAATATAAGGAAAACAATTCCACTGTAGTCTACATCAGAGATCAGCAGTCATTTCTGTAAAGGGCCAGGCAGTCAATATTTTAGGTTTTGTGGGTGTCAGTCCATTTGGGCTGCTATATTAAAATATGACAGATTGAGTAGCTTATAAACAACAGAAATTTCTCAGTTTGGGAGGCCAGAAGTCCAAGACCGAGGCATCAGCAGATTTGGTGTCTGGTGAGAACCTGCTCTCTGGTTCACAGACAGCCATCTTCTCGCTGTGTTCTCATATGGCAGAAAGTGAGGGAGCTCTATGGGGTCTCTTTTATAAGGGCACTGATCCCATTCATGAGGGCCCTACCCTCATGACTTGCATCTCCCAAAGGCCCCACCTTCTAATACCATCACTTTGGTGATTAGATCAACATGAGAATTTGTATAGATACTATTATAAGTGCCACCCAACCAATTTAGTGGATTAGCCCTCAGCTAATCCACACTCAGTACATAGCAGCAGGCCATATGGTCTCTATTGCAGTGATTCAACTCTGCCTTTGTAGTGAGGAAGCAGCCATAGATGATAAATAGATATGGCTGTGTTCCAAAGTTCCAATAAACTTTATTCGTGAAAACTGCCAGTGGGTCAGATTTGGCCCATGGGCAATAGTTTGCAGCCTCCTGGTCTATACTGTCAGAATTGAATTATATAGTGATGGAAAGCTTCTAACAGTGAAATTGTAAGCCAGTGGCTCTCAAAATGTCGTCTCAGGGCCAGCAACATCAGCATCATTGGGGAACTTGTTAGAAATGCAAGTTATTGTGCCTCACCCTTGACCTAGTAAATCAGAAACTCTAGGGGGTGGGGCCTGGCAATTTGTTTTAAGCAGCTCTTCAGGTAATTCTGATGCTCACTTGTTTGAGAACTGCTGTTGTGGGCAAAGTTTTGTTTTGTTTTTTTTTTTGCTGTATGCGGGCCTCTCACTGTTGTGGCCTGTCCCGTTGTGGAGCACAGGCTCCGGACGCACAGGCTCAGGGGCCATGGCTCACGGGCCCAGCCACTCCGTGGCATGTGGGATCTTCCCGGACCGGGGCACGAACCCGTGTCCCCTGCATCGGCAGGCGGACCCTCAACCACTGCGCCACCAGGGAAGCCCATGGGCAAAGTTTTGATTGCAAGAGACAAATCTACCCAAGCTAGCTCAAATAAATATCTTACTGAAAACCAGGATAATTAAAAGTAGTTGCTGCGGGCTTCCCTGGTGGTGCTGTGGTTAAGAATCTGCCTGCCAATGCAGGGGACACGGGTTTGATCCCTCGTCCGGGAAGATCCCACATGCCGCAGAGCACCTAAGCCCGTGCGCCACAACTACTGAGCCTGAGCTCTAGAGCCTGCAAGCCGCAACTACTGAGCCCATGTGCCACAACAACTGAAACCCGTGCACCTAGAGCCCATGCTCCACAACAAGAGAAGCCACCACAGTGAGAAGCCTGCGCACTGCAACGAAGAGTAGCCCCTGCTCACCACAACTAGAGAAAGCCCGTGCGCAGCAATGAAGACACAACACAGCCAAAAAAAAAAAAAGTAGTTGCCGCAATAGGCAATCCCCCAAATTTTGGTGCCTTAACTTAGAAATTTATCTTTTGCTTATGTTATGTCGTGCTTTGGGTGGCCTCTGTTTTGTAGCTTTGTGACCTGGAACTCTTGGCCTCTGAGGTCACTGCAGTGGAGGAAGAGACAGCTAGAGGATTGGATTTTGTATTTTTAAGTGCCAGGGTTGGAAGTGGCCTATATCAGTGCTTCTTGAACTTTAATGTGCATCAGAATCACCTGGGATCTCATTGAAATGAGGATTCTGCTTCAGAGGCCTCAGGTGGAGCCTAACAAGCTCCAAGATGATGGTGTTGCTGCTGTCCTGCAGACCACATGTTGAGAAGCAAGGGCTCATCTCCCTTCTGAACACATCCCATTAGCCTAAACCTCTCACTTGGCCCCAGTCTAACCGCAAAGGGGTTGAGGAGCATAGACTTCCTATGTGCCTCGGAAAAGGCGTTATTTCTGCCACATGAGATTACAATAAACGACCTTACAGAGTCAGGGCTGGAAATAGTCTGAGGCTGCGTGGTCACAATGGTAGGCTAATAACGCTCCCCAGGTGTCATGCAAGATAATATGGCAGGCTAAGGGAATTAGGTTGTAGACAGAAGGGACTTTGGAGATGTGATTAAAGAGCTTGAGATGGGAAGATTGTCTGGATGGGTCCAGTGTAATCATTAGAGTCCTTACAAAAGGGAGGTCTGAGGGTCATAATAGGACATAGTAGGGGAGGCCATGTGACAGCAGAAGTAGGAGAGAAAATGTAATGATGGAAGCAGAGGTTGGAGTGATGATGTAGCTGGAAGGAGGCTACAAATCAAGGAAAGTAGGGGCCTTGAAGAAGCTAGAAAAGGCGAGGGATGTTTGGCTTTTCCTGTAGAGCCTCTGGGAGAAATGCAGTTCTGCCAGCACCTTGATTTAAACACAGTGAGACCCCGTTCAGCCCTCTGACCGCCAGAATTATAAGTTTGTGTTGCTTTAAGTCACTGAGCTTGAGAATATTTTTGTAAGGTTAGAATTGCTTTTATTGGGGGTAGGTGCCTCGGGGTGGGGGGGTTACTGTTCTGCCCTCACAGATGCAGCTGGAAGCTCCCGCCTCTACCCACTGCCTGCCTGGGTTAGTGGAACATGCAAAACTCAGAGGGTAGAGGCACGGGTGGAAGCCACCAAGGCCAGGGGCTGTTTGGAGCGGGAGGGCTGGGTGGTACCTGGCTGGAGGGCCTGGGTTGGCATAGACAGCCCAGCTAGCATCCGTGGGCCAAACTAAGGGGCTGTGGCTTTTCTGGGGGCTGAAGCTTTGTGGGAGAGACAGGCAGACTCCAGGGTGAGGTTCCACCAGTTCAAGGGACCACTAGGCCCACAGGGGAGAATAGCTCTGCAGAAGCCCCCAGCCATGTCCAGCCTGACCCTGGGCTGGCATGCCTGAGAAGCCTGTGATAATTTGTTACAGGAATGTATAAGCACTCTCCTCACTCCTTTTCACGTCTGCTACTCCTCTCTTAATGAGCTTTCAATATTATTTATCCTCTATATGACTGTAGCCATCAGCTTCAAGTCTGTATTCTGATGCTTCAGCTCCACTTCCTTCCAGTTACTGGAACTTTCCTCTACTATTCAGAGTTTCAGGTGAGAAGTTCTGATTGAATCAGATTAGTTTATGGATGGGCCTCCTCTAGGGTCAGTTAACCTGGTCCCATTAACTATGGTCAAGGATTAATTTCACCTGGTTAATGTCCAGTTAGAAGCTGAGTGGGACAGGTAATTATAAACATATTTAATATGCAAGAAATGGAAAAGATTATCATCAGTATTTGCTAGTTACTCTGCTAGATAGACTCTTTACAAGTATTATGCTCATTGGACAGATGAAAAAACTGAGGATTAAAGTTTAATTAATGTCTTCAAGGTAATGAGACCTATGAGGGTAATGTGTGGTGAAATTGAGACCTTAAACCCATATTCGACTTCAACGTCGTGTGCTTTCCTCTACCTTTAGCTCTCAGAGAGCCCAGGAGCTGGTCAGACACTCAGAAAAGCAACTGGCCTTCTTTAAAGATAAAGACAAAGAAAGGCTTTTGCTGAGGATAAATTTGGCCTCCTAAATTGCCAAAGTAAGAAGCTATTCAGTTCTTAGACTTTATCTTACATGACTTTTGTTTACCATTTTTCCGGTTGACTACTCTCCTCTTTTTAAAATAATTGTTTTTTCCTGCAGTCTCCCACTTAATACTTTATCATTAGCTTTCATTCATGTCATTAAATATCCTTATAAAGTTTGTTTTCAATTGTTGGATGAACTTGGTTGATCTAACAACCACTTTCCTACATACAATTGGATAAGCTGTTTCCATTTTTTTCACTATTATAAGCAACACTGCTAGCATATCATAATATTATTCATCTGTATCTGATTCTTTTTCCTAAGGTCAGATTTCTAGAGGTAGGATTAGGAGAATAGGAAAAAGAAAATATATGTATATGTTGGACTACACCCCGCAGGCCTGCATTTCTTGTGATCGCCCAGCCTCGAGACCGAAGAAAGAGCCCCGAGACAGTGACAGAGACATCAGTGGCTTAATGGACATGGAATCTTACCAGCCCAAAGCAAGGTCCTGGAGCAGCATCTCCACTGTGTACAGCAGAAGGTGAGCAAGACATGACAGCAGCCTTCGCTACCCCAGGGGAGAAGGAGGCTACCATTTATAGGGCGAATTGCCGTCGGTGGGCTTATCAGTTATCAGGGTCTAATGAAGCCCTATAATTAAGAGGATTGGGTAGTCATGTGAGTGAAGCAGGGACTGATTGAGCAGGGGATGTACAGTGAGCAAGAGAACAGCCATCTTGGATGGCCTGAGTGTGTATATATATATATAGGGATTGGGGTGAGGGGGGCCTGTAGACTGGCTCAGCTTGACTTGAGCTTTTAAATTTCATTGGTGTAAGCACGTTGCCTAAAGAGGCAGTTCTGTTCCTTCCTGCATTACAGCTCTTAGGGAGCAGGGCCTTGGTTCTTCCTCCTCAGAACACAGGTCTGGGGGAGGTTGGCCTATGGCAGAAACCAATCACAAGTTGTTAGTGCACAGTGGGGAAATGGCTGATGTCACCTGTCAGGTACTGTCCCTTAGGTCTGGGCACAATCATTGGAATATCCAACTGCATCCAGGCCTGAGGCTGCTGACACTTGACACTAGGGCCCCAATTTAGTGCAGAGTGCTCATTTGTCCCTTGAACGAAGAAGCAAGGCCTGGGGTTGGGAACCAATACTGAGGTGCTTGCAGTATCTACTATGTCTTCACTATTCAGAGCTTGTAACTAAAATATTTAAAGAAACTGATTTTAAATGCAAATTAAAGGGCAAATGTTCTCAAACAGGGGAGCTATATATATGTGTGTGTGTGCATGTGTGTATGTGTGTGTGTGTGTATATATATATACATACATATATACATATATATATATATATATATATATACACACACACGTACCCACCCACATGCACACATATGTAAAAACTGATGAGGTTATGATAACAAGGACCTTACACTGGTGGCAATTTATATTGAAAATCCTAAAAGAAGGGGTGTGTGCGTGTGTGTGTGCGTGTGTGTGGCATATTTGGCAGTTTGCGGCTCAGCAACTTGTTTGTATTTTCTTTATTAGTAATGCTGAACTTTTTCTTATTTGTTTATTTGCATTTCTTTGGTGAATTATTGGCTCATCTAATTTGCTCATTTTAAAATGTGAGTAAAAGGATATCTGTTTTAGTAAAGAATCTTTAAATTTTAATCTCTCCAAATAATATTTTCCTCCGTAATTTCCTTCTAAGACTTCAATGCAAATCAGTTACAATTCAGCTAGCTTCCTATGTGCTAGGTTAAGATGAGTAATACTTGGTGCCTGCCCTTAGGGATCTTACAGTCTATCAAGTAGACAAATACATGGATCATAGGCAATACTGCAATATGACTTGGGCCACAGTATGTTGCAATAAGATCACAGCAAGGGGAGTGACTAGTCCCAGCTAGAGTCAGAGCAGCCTTCTCAGATGCTCACAGGTATTTCCCGATAGGTACATGGTAATGTATGTTAGGGGAGAGTTGGAGTATGATAGTCAAGAGCATCATAGGGCGAGAGGGTTGTCAAAAAATGAAGCTGGAGGGCCTTAAAGCCAATTGCCTGATATCAAAATTTGCCCAAGGCCAACCCTGTGTTTCTTTAGGAGTTTCTTAAGAGCTATGACTGTAATCTTCATTTCTCCTGGCACTTGACTATGAAAAGCTCTGTCAAATAAAGAAGACAGACCCCCACCTGTTCAGCCTGCAGAGCTCAGTGCCCTGGAAACAGCTGCTGAGGATGAGTCACAGAGTATTCCCTGGGACTTCGTTGCCTGGAAATGAGAACGGTGTCTCTGGCCATGGCTGTGGCCTTTTGGAGGAATCCCATTCCCAGTCCAGTTGGAACTGCCCCAAGGTTCACGTCTGGGTCACTGACTTTCTTGACTTTCAAAGTGAGTTGCAGTCTAAATTCGAAGGTGAGGTGAGGGATGGGAAGCTTAAACCAGGGGCCCTGATGGGTATCTCTGTTGTCACAGGCTTGTGGGAACAAGAATCAGAAGCAGGTGTTGTTAAAGTTGATGATGTTAAGGCAGGTGGGGGTGGTGGTTTAGTAGGAAAGAGTGATGAGTCCATGATTCGGAATCACAGAGAGGACATTAGGACCAACATATAGTGTGTGAAGTGTGTGGTCTTAAACTTGGTAAATCTGCTTCATGAACTTCAAGGATGGAAGACAGCTTTGCTTTGTTATTTCTTACACAGTCAGCAACCATTTATGGAACTGAGAAACCAGCTCCATTCTAGGCACTGTTCATGACCACCAATTATGCTTCACGAAGAAATATTTTTAAAAATTTGAAAACATTTAAAATCCAGAATTCAGGTATCAACATCAGAGGTTGTTTTAGGTTTTTTTTGTTTTTTTTTTCTTTTTTGGCTCTCACTGTTGTGGCCTCTCCCATCGTGGAGCACAGGCTCCAGACGCGCAGGCCCAGCGGCCATGGCTCACGGGTCCAGCCGCTCCGTGGCATGTGGGATCCTCCCGGACCAGGGCATGAACCTGCATCCCCTGCATCGGCAGGCGGACTCCCAACCACTGCGCCACCAGGGAAGCCCTGTTTTAGTTTTTGTGTGCACGTAGAGTTCTGAAGTTTAAGACTTTAAAGTTGCAACTGAGACTTTTAGTTTCTTCCTAGGAGATTTACCTCCCTGCAGGTGGCTGCCACCAGGTGAGAGATGGAACTAGGTATTGCCATCAGCTGTTCAGCTTTCCTGCTCTCTGCCAGGTGCAGCTGAACACACACCTGCCGCAGCCCAGATCCTCACTGTGCTTAACCATAAATGAAATACAACGGACAGCAAAAATGAGCTGTAGGGCTTCCCTGGTGGCGCAGTGGTTGAGAGTCCGCCTGCCGATGCAGGGGATGCGGGTGCGTGCCCCGGTCCAGGAAGATCCCACATGCCGTGGAGCGGCTGGGCCCATGAGCCATGGCCGCTGAGCCTGCGCGTCCGGAGCCTGTTGCTCCACAATGGGAGAGGCCACAGCAGTGAGAGGCCCGCGTACCGCAAAAAAAAAAAAAAAAAAAAAAAGAGCTGTATTACTAAATCACAGATTCCCTCCTACTGAAAGCACAGTTGCAAAACAACAAGAAAACATTTAAGTGCTGAAAGATCCATTACCTGTTTGAGCTGATAACTCTGATTTTGTTCCCTGATAGCATTTTACTTTTATCCAAAGTCCCCCTTTTCTAGAAACTTTCCCCATAGTTGTACTCTATCTATATTTTGTTTCCCTTACAAGTGCATCAGCAATTTAGATAAAGCCTTTATTAGAAGTAGCCTAGTTATATTGTTTTTAAAGATTCTGTAAATGCATTTTGGAATAAGTTCGGGGTGTAAGTAATTAGTGTTGCTCTAAGCAGACTGTCATTCTTCTAGATTGATAGTCTGAATGCAAATGAGAAACTCTGGGCCTTAGAAGAGGTTCTGAGAAGGACACATAGAGCCAAAGCTAAGGGTGGGGCCTTGAGCCACTAGTACTGTGTGATTCTGGAAATCCCGAGCCTCTGGACAGTTGGCTGCTTTCCCCTCCCTTAGAAGAGCAGGGTATATATAGCACTGTGTTAGGGGGCAGCAGAGTCCTAGGGCCAGGGCCCTCTTGGCATCCTTGGGGTCTAAAAGAAACTGCTGAAGCAGGAATAAAGAACTGAGTTTGTCAGAGGTGGAGGAGCCTTTGGAGACAATCTATTTAAGCAGGGCAGATTCCTGGCAGGTGGGCTCTCCTCCTTGCTCAAGAGCCATGGCTGAAGTCTTAAGCAGTCATGATGTCTCCACTTGCCTAAGCCCACTGAATTCCAGCACTTCCTCCAAATCCTTCTGAACCAGCACCCCAGACAGTGACTGCTACGGCCAACATGGAAATGCCTGCCCAGGTCTCCTTTCAGGAAAGGACTTGCTGCCCAGCTGCCGACGGTATGGTTCGTTAGTGGCCTTCCGTTCTTCGGTCCTTTGGGGTCTGTCTTAACTTTTGAACTGAGGCTGTACTCTTTCAGTCCTTGAGTGGGGCTGTGGTATAAGTGCCCAGCCATTTGTGCCCACTGTGAGACACCTCTAAGGGGCAGCTTGCTCTAGAGCTCCTAGACGGGCTTGTCAGATAGTTGCCTCTGTCCAATCCCACTTCCTCTCCATTGCCTTTTACAGGTATTACTCCCTAACACACCTTTTGCACTCCTAACTTCACATCACATCTACATCCAAATAACCCCAGCCAGCATAAGTACTAATCACTTGGTGAGAAAGACACAGCAATATTTATTGAGCGCCTATCATGTGCCAGGAATTGTTCTAGATAATCAATATGTACTCTCTTTTTAAACCATGCCACAACATTATGTGCTAGGAATTGTTATTATCATTATTTTTAAGATGGAGAAACTGTGGCACAGAGGACATAAATGACTTGCTCAAGGTCAAACAGCTAGTGGAATCAAGATTTGAGTGTCGACAGCCTGACTCCAGTGCTCCTAATTGTTTTTCTCACCTAGCTTATTTGCCATTCTCGGGCTAGTTCAACCACTTTAACCATTCTTTGCTACCACTGCTTTAGCAGTCTGTTGCCCAAGCAGTAGACGGTTAGTATGTACGTGGGAGAAGATGGGACCCTTCATTCTCTTTCTGGTATTTCCAACCCACAGTATGTTGCCTGGCACATAATGGAAGCCCACTAAAGTTTTGATGGTGAATGAACAAAGGAGAGTTGAACATCCCAGCGTCCCAACTCAGATGAAAGAACATGGCACAAAGGAGAGTGAGTGTGGGGAGAACGTAATGACTGTATGTGGGGTCAGTGTGACAAGGAAAGAGAGTACCTATAGACTGTGAAAACGATGTGTGAGCTTTTATAATTTTGAGCTCACTCTAGTTTCAGCATAGCTGTCTCCCCCTTAGTCTAGCTGCTGGCTGGTGTGCTGATGTGGGAAAGGGTATAAAGCAACTAACTCTAATATGTCTGACCTTGTTGTGTGGATCTATACTCTCCCTTAACCGAAACAGAAGTGTCCTTTAAAGTTCAACTGGGATATTGAAAGTTAACAAGTATCTCTGAGAGGGGAGTTGATTTTTTGTTTAAAGCTATAGTTTAGAGTCATT